TAATATAATAAATAAATACATAAATGGTTCACAAATCATTACTTTGAAGAAAAAGTCAAAAAAACAAAAGTTATTATGAGATAAAAGAAGTACTTAATTAATATTGTATTGAAAACTGAAAAATAACAAATAAAATGAAACAAAAAAAAATCTTCTAAAACTATAGACGTCCATTAAATAAAAATAAAGAGAGTATTTTATATGAATATATTGTTTTACAATTAAAATTATATTAAATTATAAACACTAGTCATTGAATAATAAAGGACTATAACTCATTATTAAAGATCTATCATCGTCTAATAATTAATATTTTATAGTTTAACTCATGAAACATTTTTTGATTCTATAGATATATAAAATACCTTATTTGTCTCAAAATAACTACTATTTTTTTACTTTAAATTTATTTTAAATTAATTATTGTTTTTTAATTTTTTATGGTAGGTAAATATTTATTCTTACTTTAACCTTATTATTTATTTACTTTAATTAATTATCCAATCACAAAAAAAAAAAATTGTTTTCCATTTTTTTTAAATATTATAAATAAATATAAATATTGTTTTCAAATTCTTAATTTTAAAAAAAATGACAATTATTTTTTTTAAATGAATAATATATACTAATCCCAAGTTCTAACAAAATTAGAATCTTAATTTCAAAAATATCATCCTCCAGCAATAGAGATCCAAGTTCTTTCCAATTCTAACTTTTAGACTTCATTTTTTTATTTGTACAGAGAGATTTGAGATAGGATATTTCACCTTTTTCTTCCTACAAATTGGTCCTTTGTCATTTTATTTTAAAAATTTTGAGACTTAAGGTAAGCAGGTGTACATCCAACCCCAATTACATGTAATTTTAAGTACTTACATGTAATTTAACCACTGTCCCTTAATAAATATTTTGAAAAGAGAAAAAAAGTTCATTTATATATCAGTCTTACATATTATATTTATATAAAATTTTAATTATTTATTTTTACTTTTAATAATCAAAATTTATTACGACTGTTTATATAAAAAATGATTATTTTTAATAAAAATAATTAATCATTAAAAATAAAAAAGATATGGTTAAAATTTTGTATAAATACAATATATAAAATTTGTATTAAATAAATCATGTGTATAGGTTGGTAAAAGATGGAAAGTTTGAATCAAGTTAAACACTCTCCAAAATTTCTTTTCAAACACTGTTGCAAGACAACAAGGTATTTAAATTTCCATGATTAGTAATAATTTTAATTTTTAAACATGTTAATATTGTCTTCTATCACTATACCAATTATATAAATTACATAAAATTTAAGTGGCCGTTGATCCAACTATAGGTAGCAATATTATCTCAAAGGAGTTACTATTTACTGAGTACCAAATATAAAAAAGGGGGGGCTTTTTCTTTCTTAAGGCACAAGTTAAGTAAGCAATTAATACATCATTTTGTTATTAAGTTACAGAGAAAGAATAATGTTTAATTTTAATTTTAACAACTAACTAATTAAGGCTATGTTTGGGACAGCTATTGGGAGTCCTTTTCGACTCTAAAAGCTCAAACTGCACCAAATATTACAATTTGTGAAAAATGCTACAACTTTTCACAAGTTAGTACTTTGTCCATTTCATTGCAAATTTCAAAAGCATTGAGGTGGTGCTTCTGCAAGAACTTTTCATTTGAGTTTTAATAAAATTAACATATTATTTCTATTTTATTCTTATTTTTCTTTTTATTTACAAAAACAACACTTCTACAACAGTTTCTTTTCAATAAAACTTCTATTAAAAACTCCAACCACACCAAACAGACACTAAATTAAGACATGTGCCATCAATATTAAGGGCATGTTTGGGTTAGCTTTTTACAGTTTCAGCTTTTTACAGTTTCAGCTTCTGGACATTATTCATATTTCATAAGTTTAAATTTTTCTCTTAAAAACTTACATTTTAAAACTTTTTTAAAACTTACATTTTAAAACTTTTTTTTACCTAAAAAGACCTCAAACAGTAAAAACTTAAAAGCTTCAAACCTAAATTTTTCATAAACTTCACTTTTAGTCATTTTTTCATATCTCTAAAAACAATTTTTAAATTTTTCCTTCAATAAAAATTTAAACTTATCACTCATAAACAGTACTAAAAAAGCAAAAACTCTGACAAGTTAAACCAAATAGCCCTAAAACTAATATCAACTTTTTTGTTTTTTATATAAACTAATGACTAAAAAATTATTAATTACATCCTTAACATGTACCCTACAACTTTAAAAAATCCAAAAAAAAAAAGAGTTACTATTTATTAATTTAAGTATGCGTTTTATTATTAAGTTTTTTTTACACGTCACCATTAAAGGTACGGATAAATATATGAAATTTGTATTTTTTTTATTTAAAATTTATTGAATAACAATAATAACTTGAAAAATTATAATTTTAATTAAAATAATATAAAGTTCATATTTTTAAATACAAATAATAAAATTCGCATTCTCATCCAAACATATTCTCTTTACTTCAAATTAAAGTTATTATCACATCATTTTACATATAGATTCACTCATACTAAGGAGTTTAAGATATAGTAATATGTAATGTAGAGTGCTATTCAATTTATTTTATGATAATTGATAAAAGAAATTAATAAAAAAAAATTTTATATAGTTTATATTATATTTAACTGTACAATAAAAACTTTAAAAGAAGCATGAACTGTTGATATTAAATAATCTTTTTGTTAAAGATTCAAATTTAGAAGCAAGAAATTCATCCATAAAATGAATAGTCTAAAGTTTTACATTTAAAATATTAAGATCTCTAATAAAATTATTTAAATATTTTTAATAAAATTTTTTACATATTGATTTATTAAAATTATTTTAATTCTTTTATTATAATTTTTAACATTTTAAATATTAAAACTACTTAATTTTTCTTAATTTTTTATTTTAATGAAAAAATGGTACGTAGTACTATTTCAAAAATCACAAAAAATAAAATGATTCTTTTATAAGAAAAAGATGCTAAGAAGAGCTCAAGTTAAAGGTATGTTATAGCTGTTTGTTGCCCATTGCTAATGCTCTGTTTTCACTTTCAAGCCCGAGCTGAGGTCATCCCCTTCTCTGGTTCCTACCTTTTCATCCTTTCTTCGAGAAGAGCACAAGAGTCAAAAAAGATGGCTTTAGATGCATAACCCTTGGTAATTCCCAAAGACCCTCGGAAAAGAAGGCTTTTTTTTTCTTTCAATTCTCAACACCAACTAGTTCTTTCCTTTTTGGGTCCAAAGCCATGCATGCTATAATGGAGAAAACCAGAGTTTGTTAATGTAATGAGAGTAAAAGGGTGTGTTGTTTATAAGTTTTGCTGTAATGGGTGTGGAAGAGAACTGGGAAATGGTGTCACCAACCGTGGCACCCTTGAATTTGCAGAGGGAGGAGCAGTGGAGGCATTTCGACAACTCGGTGAATGCGGTTTCCTTTGGGTTCGTGGCCACTGCCATTCTCATTTCAATGTTCCTTGTTATGGCTATCTTTGAGAGGCTCCTCCGGCCAAGATCGTCACCTTCCAATGCCAGGGCAGGTACGGATGTCGAGGCACAGATGATGTTCGACGGAAAGCCTCAGTATCCTTCTCCCAAAGTATGTTTTCTCCCTCTTAACTTTTGTTCTTTGCCTTTTAAATTTTCCTTTGTCTTTTTTCTCTAACTATGAAATGGTGCTACAATAATTCTGGGTTATATGAAGGAATTGCAAATGGGTGATGACGAACTCTAAAAGATTTATATTTTTTTTCCTTTACTCTGTTTCTGTCTCTGCATTTCTTTCTTGATGTAATGAGTGGCTTGGAAGCATGATTATGGCGGTTCTTTCCCTTTACTTTCTTTACTCTGTTTCTGTCTCTGCATGCAAAAGCTTTTCTCTTATTTTTTTCTCTGTTTCTTTATCATGGTTTGGTTATTTTTGGGAAACAGTTCTATTGTTAGAGGATTAAAAATTGACGAATTTCATCTTCTAAATGAAGAAGCAAAACTATTGATGATTAATGGTTATAATGTTCTCCAATGTCGTATGGAACATAATTTGTATTTACTTGTTGAAAAAATGTTTTGAAATCCAGAATAGAGTTTAGATGATTCTGAACCATAAAACTTAAACCTTAGATAGGGGCAGAGGCTATTTTATTTAAGGGTTCATATGTTTGTAATATAATATAATCTTAATAGTAAAATAGTGAATTCGAAATAAAATTTTAATTATTTTAAATTATAAAACATAAACGTTAAATGAGAGTAAAGCTCTTATATTATGAACCTTCCTTCATTTAATTATTCATAATTTTTAATTTAATATAATTTTAACAGTAAAATAACAAACTCATTACTTAATTTATGTCTCAATTGCCAGAGGCGGAGCCAGAAATTTTTTTCGGGGGGGGCAAGATGCTAAAATTTTCAAAGTTCAAGAAGAGCTAAATAATTTTTCATATATTAATTTGTAAATTTTTCAAATTTCAGGGGGGGCGAGCGCCGCCCCTCGCACCCCCCTGCCTCCGCCACTGTCAATTGCCCTTTTTGATTTTTCTAGTGGAACAAAGGGTATATACCATTCTTAGAGAAAAAAGTCAAAGCAGGGGACCATTTTTTCTAAAACTTTGCACGCCACCAATTTCAGCCTAGGTGATTAGCCTACGTTCACACTTTGACATGTCCCCTGCTCTTACATTGAGAAGAATATTATTATTATTATTGAACTTAAGCTAAATAGAATATTAATTTATTTGTCTTAAGTGGTAACAAGAACGAAATTTAGTAGACAATGTTTTTGCCTCGTACAATCCAAAGACAAATTAGGTTGCACGTACGAAGATTTGTAGGTTAGATCAAACTAAATAGTAATATTTTTTAAGAAAGCGTGTATAAATTTATGTTTCAAAACTTCTCAATTTTACTTTACAATCTTCGAATTTCCTACCATTTGGAGTTTTGTGCCTCTACTCTAGTGCCTGTAGGTGAAACTTACCATTATTAAAATTAAGAAATGTCCTATATAATCTATAGTGGTGTATTTAGTTGATCATTGCAACGTTTAATAATTTAAGCCGATTCAAAGAGAAAAAAAAAAAGTTTAGCTGATTGAAGTTATGGTGGCTTAATTTGTGGCCATATCATATTAATTAAATCATTAAAGATCACTGCCAAAGATGACTGAGATGGTTTGTGGTACTCTATTGGCCTGCAATAATTAAACTATTGCACTCTACTATCATATTACTTGCGGTTTTCTAACGCAACCATATTTTGATTATCACCAGATCTTGGAATGGGCAAAATCCTATATCTTCCCAAACATGTTCCTATTATCATAAGAAACCAAAAGCATTATCATATTACTATTTCCCAACTGTTCTCAATAAATCTCTTAGTCATTTTGTCTGTTCTTATGTTGAATCAAGATGGTTTTATAAATATTACAGCTATTTTAGAATGTTTAGAAATCTAAAATCCTAAGCATGAACATCTGCTGCTAATTGCTTATCATGCTTCAGTTTGGAGTCTTATTTGTCAATCTTAGGTTTAATTCTTTTGTTTTCTCTGGCCTTATGCACAAACAAAAGGGGTCTTTTTCTCTTCCTAATTTGTTTTCTTTTTACGTCAGACTTAATACAGTTCTTTTATCAGGATGCAAGTAGAAAACACATAATTGAATTGCTTGTCTAAAACTCTAAATTAGTTTATTTGGTTTGGTTTGTGCAATATAAAATGACTAGCATTAGCATGTGATTTTTTGTCTCAATGTTTTCTAAACTATAGTAAGTTTCCCATCCAAATTGTTCTAGTTAGGATAGGATACATCAAGCCCCTCGAGTCCTCAACAACTGAATAGCCTACTGAGTTCTTTTAGACTATTGATGCTACCTCTTTTCAGTGCCATCCCATTTTCCTTTCTTTATCATTGACTGCAGTGACACAATAGTCAAGCTTTCACATGCTGAATTATTGCATGGAAATGTTAGTTCACTCACTAATTGCAAACATTATCAGCTCGTATGTCCCTATTTTGAAGTCTATAATACTAGAATAATAACTTACCCTGTTTCCATATGTCTCCTACCTTCCGAATATTGGCATGGTGCACCTCCTCATCTGTCCTTGAACCTGCAGCATGGATTTTGCGAATTGTCAACATTGAACATGCACAATGCACCCCTTTTTTTATTTCGTGCATGATGTAATTTGGTTGATAGAGAACCTTGATTTGTTGAACGAGGTATAAAATCTGCAGACGGTGGAATTATTTTACTGGGTATGAGTGTTTGCTAGGGAATTGTCTGTTCTTATCTCTACCTTCAATATATTATGTCCCATGCTTGTAACCTAAGAATGGAAAAGGTATCAATTTGTCCATGCATAGCAGCTATACTCAACTTCCTTGGTTCTAATAAGACAAAAAATTCATCCATAATTCTGAGTTGTGCTAGCTTTGACAATGAAGGCACATTTTGTCCTAATAGTTATTTGTTGTAGCTTTCAAATTATGCTCTGCAATCCGTTGTTGCGTTGATTTATGGTATCATGTCCTCTTACTCACATTATTATCATTTGTTTGTTCAGATGACGATTTATGCAAATGGTGTCTCAGTCCTGATGCCAGGCGAGGAAATACCTACCTTCATTGCACATCCTGCTCCAGCACCATGTCCTCCAGACCGCAACTTACGGCCTCCCCATGAACAATAAACCATGCTTAGGTTCTCACCTCAACCTCAAGCTAAACCGATCACCCCTGACTAAATCAACCATATACAAACCAGGGTATTCTCCCAATTTTTCTTTCAACACCAATTCCAAAACTTGAAATCCCATAGCTTTGCTTAAGCTTAGCAGCAAAACACAGCAGAAAAAAGATGCAAGTATTTGGTTATGTGTATTATCGTATATTTGCAATGATGAAACTGGCATTGGCATGCCTACTTTTCTGAAAACATGCATCATATTTATCCTTCTTAGTAAAATTTTAAGCTTGTGAATGAATCCCACCATTATTATTTAGGTGCAAACAATATCAATAGCTCAATTTGTTATCTTTAATGACTGACTTACTCAGCAGTTCATAAAATAAAAAGGATTGATTTACTCAGCGTTTGTGGACAAGATAGTGCAGCTATCAATGGAATTAGTTGGGCCAAAGTTTCCTTTTTACCATCAATCGAGTGAGGGCTGTTAGCCTGTAGGGTACTGCTTGAATTACTTGCGAATTACTTGAGTCAAGCTTGATTTGAATTCTACTCATTTAAATATATATACCAATTTATTATAAACTTAAGCTTGATTTGAATTCTACTCATTTAAATATATATACCAATTTATTATAAACTTAAGCTTGATTTGAATTCTACTCATTTAAATATATATAATAATTTATTATAAACTTTGGCTTGAGTTTGGCTTTATTGTATTTTTATTTTTCGACCATTGGTTTGCAAGACTTGAAGAAAAAATGTTTTCTTTTGGATGGTGGTATATAATTTGCTAAATGAGTTTTAGGTTCAACTTTTTAGAACTAATAATAAGAATGTTTAAATAGTGTTTAAAATTTTTTTTTATTGTTAAACTTTAATAAAATACTCTTTTTTAAATTTTTATATTTAATATTTTTGAAAAATATAAACATATTTATGATTGAATAATTAATTATTAAAATAATTTGAAATTATAAAAAAAAAATTTGAATACAGAATAAAATACTTGCTCACTCGAGTAATTGAGCACATGTTGGAGCTAGCAAATAAGCTCGAACTTGCTCAAATATTTGCAAGCTTGAGCATGAGCTTGAGATAGTCAAGCTCATGCTCAAACTCATGCTCAAACTTGTCAAATACTTGAGTTCGAACTTTTTATACAAGTTTAATTATGAGTATTTTGATACTTAACTTGAGTCAACTTATTAATAATCTTAAGTCGAAACCAAAGTTTTAGTTATATATATGTTCCAAAAAATAAAAGAAAAAAACTCAATGTATTTTTCCGCTGACATTGCATGCATCCTTCTTTATTCGAACGGACTGAAATATGAGACATTATGGTCGAATTCTCAATAGTCACAACTAGGTTATAGGTGCATATTGGATCAAGTAGTTTAGCATATCTGTGCCCAAATGGTATTTTGTCTAATCTAGATAAATACCATTCCTTACACTACATTTGTCTTACAAACATCCAATACTATATTCGGACTATGGAGCAAAATTACTTTGGACTTTGGAGGAAAAACAGACATGGAGAAATGAAATTTCCTAGACTAACTTTCTCGTACAAATGTGCTCCTGCTCCTTAAACCAAACCAGACAAAACTCTTTCTTGTGTCCAAACTTATATACTTGACAGTTGACACCACCACCTTGACCAAAGTGAAAAATGGAAAAAGAAGATGAACCATCTATCCCCCTCAATGGCCCATCCCCATAATAAGATGCCATATCCCTAGACTCACCCAAATCTCAAAATCTTTTTTTACTTTTGGCCGAACCAAATCTCAAGATCTAGTAAAACAAGATGGGGACTTTCATTTCATAAACCCATTAACCAATTCGTTAAAAATAAAAGAGGGAAAAAAAAGAGAGAGAGAGAAGTGAAGCTGACTAGTTGAGTCCTAATGTCCTATACAATGGTTTTTTATTTGATAAAATCTTACAACAATTAAAAGATATTAGACAAGTTAATGTATTTAAATTCATATACTAAATTGAACAAAAATGCTCATAAAAAATAATGTTGTAGATTTTATCCCAAAAATATACTTTATCCGTTCTAGAATCAGAATGGATATGATTATATTAGAGTCTATTAGAGGTAGTATTATGATGAAACATTTTTTAAGAAAGAGTTAAATTTCATTGATATCATAATAATAATTTACATTGCAATTTACATGAAATCTAAGGGATAACATAATTTCATAAAACATAAAAATAACCCTTTTTCCTTTTTTTTTTTTTTTTGTAAAATAGTTGGAAAAACAAAACAAAAAATAACCAGTTTTTCATAAAAAGATGAAGCACTCTAAGGAAACATTAGGGTTTTCAAGGGAGACATTTCCCTCCAAAACGCTATCGTTTTTGCCCTCCTTCTGCCCCAGAGGCAGAGCATCCTGCTCTGTACTCATTGACTTGGCACTTGCTTTTCTGGTGACCTTAGCGGGGCTCGTCCTGACCGTCGAACCCTTAGCCGTACCCACGCCCTTACCTGCACCCGCACCGTTGGCCCTCGCAGTCACCGGCGACTTCGACCTCGAACCCAGACTACGCTGTGTAGTTCTTATCTCACCCGATTGTCCCGATCCACACCCTCGACCCCGGACCCTCTTCTCCAATGATGGCTTTGATTCCAATCTTCTCGCACGGGCACCACCTTGGTCCACATTGTAGGAACGCTTCCTCGGCACCTTCGCCGGAGACCTCTTACTGGCTTCCATGCTCTGTTTGCTCGTCGCTTCATCTTCGTTTATATCTTTTGTGGCTGCCGTCGTTGCTGTCGTTGCCGTTGAGATGGTTTCCGTCATGCTATATATCTCCGATACTTCAGAGAGACCAGAGACCTCTTCTCCTTGTTTCTGCACTTGAAATCGCCGCTTCTCCATGGAGTTAAAATCTTTTGATTCGGTTTCGGATTCTTGGATACCGAGCATTTGGGCGTTTTCCTCTTGTTTGATGCGGACTAATGGTGTGTCAGATAGTACCAGTACGTCCTTCACCGTTTCTTTTGCAGGGGAAGGAGGCGACAATGCTGGGGTTTTGCGAGGTTCTGAAACCGGAGGTTTAGAGGGGAAATGAGGGATTTTGGTTTTGGAGGAATTTTGCCACTTTGGGTCTGTTTTAGCAGCGGCTGTGGTGGCTGTGGCGGAGCTAAAGCAGCAACCCATTTTTAGTGGTGGTGAATGGAGGTGGAGGAGTATCGGAGGGGGTGCTGGTGGTGAAGAAATAGCGGAACAGCTACATTAGATGGATGGGGTTGGCTGTTTTGATTTTATTTGAAAATTTTGGGGAATCAAACGGCTATAAATCCTACCTAAGGTTTTAAAATAGCAATATCTAGGAGATTTGGAGGAGAAAACTGGGTGCAGCTATGGCTTAGGACAAGCTAAGGTTAGCCCCAAGGCCATGGTGTTGAATGTTAATGGCTTGAGGTTTAGGCCCTTTGTTTGGGGCTATAGGAGGATTTAGAGTCCTTGTTTTATTGTTTAAACCATATATTAAACTGTGAAATATGAGTTATTAAATAAAGAATTATCTCAATATTAAAAGTTTTTTTTATTTAATTTTAAATATTGTGTAGTTAATCACAATACAAACTACATAATATTTTTTTAAAAATTTATATATTTGTAGGTTTTGATTTTGGGGTTAGCTTATTTGTTATTAGCTAGGCTATTTTTGAGATTGTTGTACAGCGTGAAGATGTGCTTAGACACGTAGCCTAAGACGAGTGGCTAATTCAAATTAACGAATTGACTGACTAATCAAATTAAGTTCATGGTTGATATTTTCTGTTAGAGCTAGAAAATTGCTTTTGGGAATATGCTTTTTGCAAATTATTTCAAGATGAGGGAAGCAATTTAAGAGAGTGAGAACAATTGGGATGGTTACTGGAAGCATTGATGAGAGTGAGATTTTCCAAGGATAGAGCCAGTAGGGGGACCCCAGGAGCTGTTTGAGGATGCAAATTATGTTAGCCATTTGGAATTAGGGAGCAATTATTATCAAGGTTAATGAATATGGTCCCAAGGTTGTTGGTGACAGAGCTGCATTGTGGAGCCAGCGTTTCGTTAACCTGCATCCGAGCTTCTGCTTTTGGTAGATTCCATGGGTCCATGCTTGCAAAATGTACTAGAAAAGGCGAGGCATAAGATGCCCGTAAAAACAGACCACCAGTAAAGAAATGGGTAAAAATAAGCTTTTCAGGATGCATTGATCAGTATCCTCATGCTCCAAAGCATAAGTTATACAAGGAAAACCTCAATTAAAAAGCCAGCAATAGTAGCTGATAATTACAACAAATCGAATATACAACTGGAATAAAACTAAAATTAGACAGTATTCCCAGCTTCAGTTGAGCTCGGGCTCTACAATCCAAGAATATGTATCATCCGACGGTTTTCTGCTGTGGGATGGATTTCTGTTACAATACGGTAAAAAGAAGATTATTTAATGTGAAGCTATGAAGAGGAAGCAGCACGATCAGATTCTATCATGGATTTGATGTAGAATTCCCCGGCCTTGTATGATGACCTAACCATGGGACCAGATGCCACATATCGAAATCCCTAATCCATGCAAAGGTTTAAGTGAGAAAAATTCAAGCAAGTACAATGTTGGCATACAAAGTAAAACGATATCTCAGTTTAACTATAATGATGCAAGCACACTCAAAGGACTGAAAGTACAGAAAATACAAGGGCAATATATAAGATCAAAGTGATGATTGACATATAACTGATACAAAGGAAGACAATAAGATGTGGTTATTTTATACCTGTAAATCAATACCATACTGATTTCCATGAGTTTAAGTAAACTAATATCAAATATGATATGAAATACATGTCACTAACAAGACATGAAGTGCTAAATCTAAATGGTTATGACATGCTGAAGTGAATAAGTAATCATGACTGATGACATCAAGAAAGGAATTTCAACAAGCAGCAAAGCAAGACATCAACCATTTTACACTTAATCTTTCCTATTTTTATTTTTTGAGGAAATACACAATCTATTTTGAAAATGCTATTTAGAAGCTTGCTAATGTTAACTGATAATCAGGTTGCAGACTTGGAACTAAAAGATGTGATTCAAGGGAGTGAGGAAACAATACTGCACTTTATTACGAAGATTCTTACCAAAAAAAATTGTACTACCAGAATGTGATATTGTCTGTCACCAGAGATCTGACCTTTGATAGGAATAAAAATTAGGTCAATGGAACCCCATTTCCCTTGAAAACCCTGGCACAACATGAGCTACAGTTATCCCTTAGGTCCACTGTGACAATTGGTTCTGCTGTTTGAAATGTTAACATTTGTAAAACCTTGACAATTAGGTTACTCATGTTAGACATTGTCAACAGAAACGTGGTTCTATTAAACCTAATTGTTATACTTATCAAAGGTCAGCGACCAATTGATGACATTTATGATTCAACTCCAGAAATATCTTCAGCATCATTAAATAGAGATCAGTACAAATCTCGTGACCAAAAACTCATTATTTCTATCTAATTTACCATTCCCATTTCCCAATTTTTAACCACTGTATGCAGGAGCAACTAGTGTCGCATATGGCAAAGTAGTACAGCCCACTTTGTAGTAACATTTAGAGTGTCATAGTCCAAAGGAAACTAAGAAACACCTACCCCCCAAAAAAAAAAATGGCTTTTACTAAAAGGGAGTGATTAGGTGCTTGAGAAAATTAAGCAATCTAATACTTTGAGTGCAACCAAACAAAAGCCTAAACAACAAAAAATAGTGTCTACAAGCAGACAGCCTAATTCATGTGCTCAACTAAAGACTGCAATAATAACAAGCTTCCAAGTGCTTAATTATAACAGCCTTAGCTTCAAACCAGTTTCAAATTACTTTTCAATTTAATGCCTGCTTTTTCAGCAGCCATTTGGCACTTTTTCCTTCAGAAAGATATGGGATCAGGCTAAAGCTACTGCACTTGAGAAATAGACAATACCTTTCCTCCATTTATTTTAGCAATTGTGCATGAATGAGTATGAAAATTAGACTTTAGTAACAAATTCAATAGCAAACTATTTGCTTAACTAAGAATAGGTATTGACTGAAAAAATGAAAATGATAATTAAAAAAAAAAAAAAACAAATTAATATAAAATACATGCATACCATATCCATGCCAAGAGCCCGATACTTCTCAAAAGCCTCAGGAGTAATGTACTCTGTTACTGGCATGTGACGCTTTGATGGTCTCATGTATTGACCAAATGTCATCACATCAACACCTGCAGCTCTAACCTTCTCCATTGTTTTCACAACTTGTTCAGGTGTTTCACCACACCCTAACATTATTGAAGTCTTTGTAAGTGTTCCAGCAGGAGCATAGTCTTTGGCCATCATTAGAACATCTAAAGATTGATTAAAATTTGCACGGCGATCACGTACAGCACTTTGAAGTTCTTCAACTGTCTCAATATTGTGAGCAAAGACATCTAATCCAGATTTTGCAACTTTCTCTACACAGCTAGAGTCTCCTTGAAAATCAGGAACTACACATTACAAAACCAGTGGATGTAACATTAGCTACAGCAGAAGGAATTCACCCAAAATGAGAACTTCCAAATATGCAAATAAGCTAGAAAGGATACTTCAGTTCCAAAAACGCCACCCTGTATTCAATATTTATACTCTTTGTATGCACAGATTGTATCAAATAGATGTTGTCACAATAAACAAACTCCAAAATGATAGTGCCAATAACCCATTGGCCTAGCTGTTTTTCCCCCTCTACAAGGAGAGAGAAGACCAAAGTTCAAACTTCCTGCTGCCCTTTTGAACTCCCAGAAATAAATAAATATATAAATAAGTAATGATGATGTACAGCCCCTCAACTTCCCAACCCAAACCCATTATCAAATATTGCAACAATCACTACTTCATTGAGTGCAGAGCAAATGAAGCATACTACAGCACGTAAAACATATGCCACTATCTGAGTATCCTACACTCTTACAACTAACAGTCTGAGTTACTACTGGACACAATAGAAAAGCAAGAACGATGGAATAAAGAATTCTTACCCAATGCTTCTATCAGCATATTCGGTTTCAACGCCTTCAACTTCTGCACTGTCTCTGCAAAATGGCCACTCCCTTGATCAGTCAGATCATCCCGATCAACACTAGTAATCACCACATAATCCAAGCCCCAGGATGCAATTGCCTCAGCAACATTTGCTGGTTCATTAGGATCAGGTGGAGGAGGCGTCCGTGATGTCTTCACATTACAGAACCTGAAATTTATAAACATTCCTTGAACTCATACCATAACATCATGGACATCCACAATTCTTCCCCTTGATTATTACCATAAACAGGAAAGTAATAGTTTTTTTGTTGCTCAATAATTCTACCTAACGAAATGTGCAAAGAGGGCTCAGACAACTCACCTGCAACCGCGAGTGCAAGTATCACCCAAAATCATGATGGTGGCAGTGGCCGTTCCCGTCTCCCCACCGGACCAGCACTCACCGAGATTGGGGCATCTCGCCTCCTCGCACACAGTATGTAGCTTCAACTCCCTCAACTTCTTTTTAATCTGAACGTACTTCTCGCCACCAGGGACGGATTCCTTCATCCATTTTGGTTTTGGAAGGGGTTTCCTCTTCGTCCCAACTTCCACAGAATACTGATTAGGATCCTGGAGTCCAATGAAATCGGAGAGGACCGGCGATTCGGCGGCCAAACGGGCCCGTAGTCCAGCCAAAGTTCCGGGAAATTCGGGTTTGTTGGGGGTCTCGACGGCGGAAGAGAAATGCCTCCGCTTTTGGGTGGATGATTTGAGGGCACGAACTAGGGAATTGAAGCGAGATTGCATCATCTCTCGCCGCAATTTATGGGTAGTCGTCGGATGTCTGAGAGAGAGAGAGGGAGAGGAGCAGAGACGTTCGAAGACGATGAGGTTTTGTTGCGGTCTGGTTTGGCGCTGGACGGGGGGTGGTTGGTGGCAGTGGTCCCTGGTCAGTTTCGGTGTTTCAGGATTTGCACTCTCTGGGCCCTGAGCAGCCCAGAATTTTGACCCTAAAACTCGAAGCATTTCAAGTCTTTTAAGATGAGAGAAACTAAGAAACCCAAATAGAAATCCAGCCCAAAATAGTTCATTACCTTTTAGTATATTTTTTCGCTTAATTTAATGATTAGTCTATTAACTATTACCTTAGTTTTATTTTATTTTAGAAAGTTAGTTTTCTTTTTAAATAGTTTATAAATTTTATAAAATATTTTAGAATAGTCTACTATATAAAACTTCCATTAATTTTAACAAAAAAAATAGAAAAGTTAAATTAAAATTAAAACAGAGTAATCATAACTAATAAAGCAATTCATAATAAATTGTATAAGTTATTAAAGCATGTCAAAATTTTAATTTCTACTACAAGGGAGAATTGTCAAAAAGGAAAGTTGAAGCAGCATATAATAGAGACTATAGTTTATTAGACAATGAAAAGAAAGTTATTATTCTCATAAAGTTATTATTCTCACAAAATTAATTTTATCTCAAAATTAATTTCAAAGAATAAAAATTCATAGAAGCTATAGTTGAAGATCAATTTGACAAAATGGAGTAAAATTGTTGTTAAAAAGTTAACATAATAAACTAAACTGAAATAAAAATAAAAGATAGTAGATGGATATAAAAGTATCTAAAGATAATAAATGAAACCAAAAAAGTACAAAAATTACTAGTCTGTTTATTGAATTAAGCTATATTTTTGTTAGAAGGTTAAATATTAGTTTTTGAACTTTTAATTTTATATACTTTTAGCTTTTTAAATTATTTTTTATACTTTTTTCATCATTTAACTATAAAAAAAAATGCACTTTTTGGTTCTTTCATCAATTTCAACATATAAATCTATAAAGTTGGTAATTCTTTTAACTAAAAATGTGCAATAAATGTTTGTTTAGGACAAAAAATTATACGGAAAACATAAGTTTAGCAACTAAAAAAATATCTACTAAATAGACTTAATGGACAAAACTGGAATAATGACAAAAAAAAGTGTTTTTTTCATAATTAAGGGATAAAAATATATAAAAAAAAATAATTCATGAACTAAAATTATTCAAAATCAAAAGTTTAAGAATTAAATTTGATATTTAACCTTTCTTGAATGGTGCAGGGTCTGAAAAGTA